CGCGTCTCGTATAAACAAGCACAAACAGTGTGAGGTGCCGTACGTCACAATCGTGGTGGGAGAGCAGAAGAGGGAGGATGATTTCAGTCTACATCCAAAAGAAGAGAGACAGTATTTCTGCTTCCCTTCCCAGGAGAATGGTTTTGGAAAAGTTACCCTCTATGCTTTTTATGGAAACAGGACGCATTTGAGCACGCGTTGGCTAATTCATGTTAAGCCCGGTCATTTGGTTTGTTCGGTGGTTAGAGAGGCCTGTGTGTTGATGAATCAGAAGCAGTTTAATGATCTCATTAAATCTGTGCTAATCGTATAGGGACAAGTACCCCAAAGACAATATTCAACTACAGTACATTTCTTACAAAGTTGTGCTTGAAGAAAGTGTTCTGTATTCAATTTGCCAGTTTTTATGTAAAAACTCTGTATGACTAGTTCTTCAAAGCAACCAATGGCTGTGCTGATTCAGATAATTTCCAAATGTTTTCTTTTGATGAAAAAATATAAGCTAAAATAAGCACATTTAAAATTTAACTCAAATCTAGGTACCTTGAAAACATAATGGGGGGAAACCTAACACAATACACTTTATTGTGCTTTTAGCATCTCTTCATTTTTAACTGCTATTAGGGGCAAAATGATCATCTTAATAACTGATGATTATCTTAGTAAACCACCAGGCAAATTCCTTATGATAAAATTAAATTAAGCAGGGAGGAAATTACTGAGAATGATTTAATGCCGATATGACTTTTAAATAGTTCACTTTTAAGAACAATGCAGGTGTCCTTATGAGCTTTTTCCCTGAGGTACCAAGATGCAGGTCTTCCCAGTATAGCCGTGTGATACTTTTCAGGTATTGTTGGATGCCCAGATTCAACGGACAGACAAAACAAACAGCCCGACTATGGTTTTCCCAAATGACTCCTCTTGGCTGTTGAGGAAATTAATTATCTATGTTTTAGGAGACAAATGGACCCCAAATCTGAAATATAGTTTACGGAGACATATTTATCAAGACAAGACAAAAACAGAGACAGTTCACCCAAATGAGACAGACAACCAGCTGGAGGCTATAATGTCATCCAAGGGTTTCCAGAGAAAGCACCCTTCAATCAGAAGACCAGAGGAAGTCACCTCCAAAGCCCGACTGACAGCAGATCCATACACCCCAGTTGCAAGTGGGACTACTGGAGCAGGAGTGTGACCATGATTGGGACAGGTAGATTCTGCTAGACAGAAGAGTTAACAAGATTGGTTCAGGGCCCTCTGACCAAGGCACACAGGATGTGACTCATGATGATGAGATCCCAGGACCCCATTTTTCATGAAGGACACACCCAGGCACGTCCCTGAGGGATGAGCTGGCCCTCCTGGACTGGCTAGGGGATCGGTAGTAATCCACTTTCTAATGTACACCGCCTGAGGACAGACTATTCACATCGATGGTTAATGATTAGAAATAACTCAGTAGAGGCTGAATCCACATGGAGATGCAAAAATGGCTATTGGGCTTTCAGTGTAACCATAGTTTTTGGCAAAATAGATGTTTATTGAGCATTCACTAAACATAAAACACTATGTCTGATAATGGACAGACATTCTTCTTAGGGAATTTATAGTCTAGAGGAGGAGTAGACTATAAAGCAGAGCAGCAGTAGCATGCAGCAGCTGATTCAAGAGAGACTTTTGTGCAATTTTTCCGGAAGCTTTAAGCCATTTAACATCACAATGGATGTTTAGAAGTGGCCATGGTAGGAGTATTTACACCATGTAAATGTTTCCTCCCTCACTCAGGAGTAAGCCAGTTGTTAAACATTTACAACACACCATTGGAATAGAGTGAGAATCAAGTGATATGACAAATTCAGCCTGAGCCACTGATTTGGGCTCTTATCCAGCATGGGCTATGTAATTCCTGATGAATGCTCCTAGCAGCACACACACAGCTGATGATTGTCTCTTTTAATTAATTTTCTAATTAAACATGTGTAAAACTCAGTAATCCCTACTTGCTACAGGATTGCTTTTGTTGCCAATATGTACACATTGCTAACTAAAAAGTAGAATAATCTCTTAAAATACATTTTGCATCATTTAAGTCTGTGAGGCAAAGCACTGCCAAGAGCTAGGCAGCCATCTGAGATTCTTCGCCTTGCACGCAAACTAAAAGCTCCCCGACTGCAGTTGCATGAATGCTAGCAGCAGACACAAGACATTCGTTGAAAGAAAAAGGTGCATACTTATAGCAGTACCCAGAACATCTGCATTGGCTCCAGTCCCCCAAGTTCCAGTGACCACAGTTGGCATGATGAGAGCTCCTTGCCCTCCCGGTACAGGAATGGAAAGCCTGAGTTTAGGGATCCTGAATCTTTTATAATAGACAGCAAGGTGCTTGAGAGATGATCTTTATTATACTTGAATATGTAGTAGATAAACCTATTCATTGCTCACACGGAGACACCATTTCTCTCAAAACTTTTTACTATACAAACATCCTGGAAGAGAAACAGTCCACAATGAAGTGTCTTATTAAAAACCCCCAAAGCCTAAAACAAAAACAAAAGTGAAATCCATTGACCTCAAGTTGCTCCTGACTCATCATGACCCTATATAGGGTTTTAGAGGCTGTAAATCCTAATGGGATTTA